GGACTGAATATTGACACCACGACCGACATGAAGTAACCACTCTTCGAAGAACCGTGTCGAATCAACAACACCAATAATTCATTACGCCCACGCTTTTCGGAACGAAGCAAGAAACCCTCTTTAACCGTCTGAACTTGGGCAAAAGAAATAACATCGACGCAGAACGGCTCAGTCATCGACTCTTTGAACACGACGTCATCATTTTCGCAAAAGACCCGGACGAGCTCCAAACAAATATTATGCAACTGCAGCAGGAGTCAGGCACCATCGGCCTGGAGATGAACAACTGCAAGACAAAATGTCATCGAAGGCGAAGACACAGAGAAACTCACGTATACCTCAGTCACCTAATAGACTTCAATAACAAAATCAACGGCGAGATCGGCAGAAGAAGGAAGACGGCATTTCAACAACATCAAATCAACACTAGTGAGTAAGGAACTGTCTATATCCATGAAGAAATAACTATCATTTCGCTTTCGTTATCCGACCCGCCATGATATATGACGAAACGCGCTGATCTACCACCAAGGCTAAAGAAAATAATAATAACTCGAAGGCGGACCGAATGAAAAATATGCAAGGTCCCCTTGAAGTCATGCTCCAAGTGTGACAGTTCGTTGTCGAACAAGTATACCTACTGTCGCCTGCAACTCAAAAAAGACGATACGTTGGCATGTGGTTCGTTTGAAGGTGGATATCCCGATCTACCAGCTGGATCCTGTCGGCAAAAGACGTTCATTCGATCGCCCACCAACAAGTTGGGATGATCCAAAGGTAAAACTGTTTTGTTAGCAGTTAGAGTAAAAGGCATAGCACCGAGAAGAGTGACGGAACGTCTGCTTGGGTATATGGCACCGTCGCTAAATGAAAAAAGTCAGAGGTAGAAAAGAATATTAGCTCCTTGGGGTTCGCGAGAACGCTTTCTATTCAGCCTATAATCGGGTAGGTATTACATTTCTTGAAGAGTCAGAGAATCGAAAAAAGATACGAAGGATATCTCATAATCTCGATTTATAAAAAAATACCTGCGAAGCTTTACAAACACAGGTTCAAAATCGAAAAGAACGTCTGACAGAGTGAAGCAATTTCACGAATTGTTTTTAAAGACAATTCATTGGAATAATCATGGGCTGAAGTTAAATCAGATTCACATGTGATATTATGATCTTTCAAGGTCCTAAAACAATTCAGAAGATAGCTCCGAGAGCTGAACGACGCCAGCATAAAAGCAGGACTAAAAATGAACCTGAAGATGTCTGAGGTCATGTTTAACAAATACGTGATTTTACCTGAAGAGGTGCGAAACTACGTATACCTGAGGCAGATCATATCTGCAACGGAGAACTGTTGACAACCTGAAATCTAGATAAAAGTAAAAATGACATGGGGTAATTTCAAAAGTATTAAAATGTTCTTAACCGGAAATTATGCTATGCTTGAAACGTAAAGTTTTCGATCAACGTGTTTTACCAATGCTGACATCATGAATGCGAAACGTGGATCGTAATCGTGAAAGCTATTCACAATTTGTAGATAGCGCACCGCAGCATCGAAAGATTTACAGTGGGATCGAACAGGAAGAAGAAATTTTAAGAAGAATGAAGGGACCAGAACACATATAATGAAGGTTTACGACGCCACTGTCTGAGTGACGAAACTAAAGTAGCAATAAGCAGGATATGTTTCAATAAGAACCGACATCGCTGCACTATAAATATACTAGACTTGGTAAACAGCATGTAGAAAGAGCTCCTGATTTATGACAAGATAAAATAAAAAAGTTTTATGGATCAAAATGGATAAATATAGCAAAAAAGAAAGTTTCTCGCAAAGTCTTGAGAATGCATTCATTCGGCAATAAATTAAGAATGGCTAACAATGCTGACTGTTAGAGACTATGGCTTTTACAAGTATATTTCCACTGACACGTCGGTTTCCGATAGATCGAATAGTGGTAACCAATTCATACAAAAAAAATATGAATGAACGTACGAATCTCTTGCTGTCATTGTTCACTTTGCTTACGACTAACGGTCGAAAGTCTGTCGATTATACTACAAAAAGTCATCGCGTTGAACAATCATGGAGGTTAAAAATGTTAAATTAAATAGCTAAATCGCTAACTGTTAAATTGGTATCTACATCCAAGATGGAACAGTTTTTGAAGACTGCTGGAAGTAATGAAAGATTATCGAAATTTAAGGATCACATCTAATGCCGCCGCGAATTTCGAACGACGGTCTGAAAATTGAACAGCCAACGCGTGGTTTTCCATTCAACTTGCCGACGAAACGCAATAAGGATTAAGGATACAATTTTACTACAGGGACAGCAAAGAAATTTTGGAAAATTGTACCACTCGTGCTGTTTGTTCGGAACATGTTTTGACTGTAAGATCAAGACCTCCCTCGTCGCCATAATCTTCGTGAACTAAAGCTCAAAACAGAGCATAACACTGGTGTCAGGACGTGACAGGCTACAGCTGGAGGCATCACCTCTCGAAACTCCACTTCTGAGGGCAATTGTTTTAGCTTGATGACCTGCTGTGTAGTCCATGAATGGGCCAGTGGCTTACAACTTGCTACGGTACTACTAAACAATGATAAAGAATCGTTTGTTTGCCAAATACGGATCGGCTTTCGATGTTTGGTTGCGCCTTATTGGAAATCGAAAACGACTAGTATATAGCAATTTTGCGAAGTAACATCACAGGATCTCCATTGTGCCCAACGGGGGTTTTACAAATTGCTGAAAAATAGCACTCGCAACCTTAAATGTCGAAACGTTCGTCAATCGACCATCGATTTGCGTGCACGCAGATCATCTAGCCACAACGTCGTATGATGGCGGATTGTTCGTGCCATGTGTACATAAAAATCCTAACTTACCTCTGTTTCTCCCAGTTGATCAAGATCGGTCGAATGGCGTGAATATGAGTACTTACTGTACATTTAGATAGGTGAGGGTTGGTTAATAAATTCAAAACACAGACTAGCAAAGATGGACTGAAAGTTTCAGCCCCGAGAATCATAGAATCACATCTCAGATCATTGTAACATGTGATGCACCCCCTTCCCCCAATGAAGCACGTCACCGAGGTTAACGGGACTCTCGATTTCTACTGCAACTCAATGGCAGATAATGATATCACACTCACAGCCGTAGATTGATAGCTACACTAATGCCCGAAAGGTGAAAGGGGTATGTCACGTTCATTGGCGGTCAATATGGTGTGCAAGCAGTATGGCTTTTGTAGCTCCATTATTCCATCTCTCAATCAACTGACGGTATTCATTCTCGCTTATAAAGAAACCAAACTGTCACGTCTTGCAAAGCGTCAACTTTCTTAGAATCGAGTAATCGACATCATTATATACCACTCTAGCTGCGCCAGTTACCTTGAATTTCAGAACCATTTCCGGAAGCTATTACTTAATTTAATTCAAAGCTAACAGACTTTCACCACGGTGATAACTAACACTATGTCAACCGGTGGTATCAAAAATTAGCTTTTGTTTGATAGTAAACCAAGAGTACTGTAATCACTGGTTTTTATACACAAGGCATACGACGATGTACGTGACTTTGGCGTCGAACCGCGGTACACAGTGACGCAACTCTGCATCTATGCAAAGCACTGGCTACAATATCCTGGAGAAAATACGCTAAATGCACCTTAAAAGAAAAAACTTACAAGGATTACTTTGAAAAAGAAAAAATGTTCTCATCCTGGAAACTGCCCTTGTACACGAAACGGAAAGTTTCTAATCAGTGTGAACTCGTGCTAATCTATGGAGCGAAACGAAGACTCTACGGCTAAAAGTCATTCGTAAACTGCAGACTATGCCACGCAGCATGGAAAGGTGTATGTTGGGAATAACATGAAAAAATAATGAAACACATGAATGCATATAGGCACATACAATAGCGTGCTATGTTATGGCCAAGGTGAAGAAGTCACGGTGGTGATGGACGTGTGCATGTTGCTTGAGAGACATTACAGTGGATTCCAAGAGACAGTAACCGGTCCGAAGGAAGGCCCCCAGATTGTTGGCATAATGCGTTGAAGAAGTTAGCTGCATCAAGATGGTAAGAATCGCACAAAACATAAGTATATGGGTCGTCCAGCAATGGACTGAAAACAGCCGATGATGATGAAATTTACGTCTGACGCCCCAGCTCTAAGTTTTGGTCATTATCAGATGAACTACACGCGTAAAGCGCATGGATCCGAGCGGTATGGCTGATTATTTCGGACGCTCTGATACGACCGCATCAGAATACCATGACATCCATATGGTTCACATGCATAACAGCCGCTTGACAGTTCCCTGTACCGAAACAACGTACAGTAAGCTGCTTACTTAACGGAATTACAGGTGATGAAAAATGTTCGCGCAGCGATAGGATCTGAAAGCCAAACTACAATCCGTTGCGTCCCAGACCCCGAACCGCCATCTCCCCCCTACCCAGTGGCCTATGAATTTCATTTAATACTGAACCATCGCTTTTATTTCGTTATTAACGTGATTGCTGTATTAACTTCTGCTCTAAATTAAATAACTACCGATCTCTGCTGTCGGAGCAGATGAGAGTAACAGAGACAAACGTTGGCAGAAATCACAACCGAATGCATGTCACCTTGCGCTAATCCTCCAAAGCTACGGACGGTCCCGTTTGAAAAAAAGTACATTACGGGTAAAGTGGATGTCACTTTTGAAACGTGAGAAATTTAAAACATCGAGAGGTCAATTGAGGTCAGTAATATCAACCTAAGAAAGATTCGAAACTGACAGGTCGACAGCGAACAAAAAGCTTTCGGCGAAAAATGTCAGTCAAGCAACCAGTTTAACAGTCTCAATTTTAAAATCCTGTACAATCGGCCGTACTGAAAGCATGCTGGCCTGGCAAACGTCGCGTATACGTTAATTCTAGGAGCAGCTTAAGCTGAAACACGTGGCACAACATGCCATTTAACCTCAGAAACGGATTACGGTTCAATCATTATACATCAAACCGTTAAACAATGAACAACGTACACTGCACGACGCAAAATCATCATCGAATGGCAAACAGCAAGCACATGCAAGCAAACGCATCGACGGACGCACAGACGCACGGAGACGACGAGTAGGGGTGATCGATAAATTGGCTGTCTGGGCCTTCCGTCGAGGATTACCTGGATTACCTATCGTGGACACCGAGTAGCGGCGGTTATTCATGTCCACCGGCAAGAAATTCTTCAGCCACAGCACGGTCAATGGTTTATCACCGCGCGCGTTGCATGTCATCGTCTCAGAGCTACCCTTTTCGACGGCACGCAGCCTCGGGTCCTCGACAATCCTTGGGAAGCCGGTCGGTAAGTTCTCTGGACTGATGACCACGAGCTTTGCGGACGCCGTTTCTGAGCCATGAACGTTACTCACCACACAAGTTATATCGGTGTTATTGTCGCGATCCCTCACGGGATCGATTCGTAAGGCACTATATCCATTGGATCCACTCTCAATGACGTACCTAAAACGATCACAGGGTAAAAGATCTTGTCCATCATCCGAATGTCGAGGAAATCAACATGGATGGCGAGCGATACCACAGCATGCAAAACAGCTTTTAAACGCAGAGCACAGATGCTGGCCGCACCGTCGATACCTGTCTTTATGTGTCGGCAGGCTGAAGCGTTGGTCAGCAAAATTAGGAAGATAAACTGTTTCATTAATTCCGTATCGTAACACACAAGTGAGAAGCTGATCACACCTACTGTTGCACGCAAATGCTCGTCCCACTTCTGAGTGCAGCAGTGTTAAGTGAATGTGTTAAAAAAGCATGTCGCGGTCTGCCTGCGTCGAATCATTATCAGTCTCCTGCATTGGAAGTACTCATATTATCTCATATGTCGATAGCTTCCATTAAAGTCAATGCACTCACTTTGGTGCTCAGCATGTGCAATAACGAAGCTGCTTATTGGTAGTATAAGCCTTATATAACTCTGCTGTGCAAAAACTTTGAAATCGCCTTATCACCAAGCAAAACAAATCATTATTAGGCAAACAGCAATACGCAGAAAATGTGGCCCTGTCGAACAGTTTAGTCTCTGATGGTCTGTAACTTCTAACAAACTTCATGCTTTATTACGTAGCTTTGAAAATAGACTCTCTAAATGACATTACCAGTATTCATGTGCCTATGGGAAACTCTAGATAAAAGAAAAACGGAATAGCACTACTCAAAAACCCAGCACCGAAAGCTTAAGCAGGAGACAATGAATGATCATCAATGGATGCGAGATGCAAATGCAAATCAAGATCAAACTCGAGAATCGAGCAGCCTGTGACACGAACACCGTGGAGAGACTGTTGATGGTCAGACTGTGCAGGAAGCATCAGCACAAAAATCTACTGACTACTTTGCATTGCGTATAAGCAAACCGTTTCTACACTGATATAGATAGGTGTTTGAACTGTATTTATACTGTTTTGCTATTACATTATATCACTTTAAATCGCAAAATATTTATTCTCAATATCTCGTTTGAAACTCTGAAGATGAATAACGTTTGATCCGAAAGGTCAGGGACTTAATTTAATAATAATTAACCTCGTATCTTGTACGTTAAATTTGTGAAAGCACTTCTGCTTTTTAAACAGAAGATTCGATGG